CAGTAGTTCGTCAGGAAGTGACATAAGTGCTCCATACGGGCCCAAGTATCACCATTGTGGGCAGGTGGGCCATATTAGGAGCAATTGTCCTAATCAGCCGCCGGCTCAACAAGCCCAAAGTGACGCTTCATACAGTCAGGAGGGGCCACCACAGTATATGCCACCATATCAGCCACATCAAATGCCATACCCTCCTGTGCCAACTTATCAACCACCTCAGTTTACACAATTTTGGCCCCAAGCGCCGAGACCCGTACAACCACCTCCACCGCAACAGTATAGGCCAGCGACCCGATGGCCTAACGTTGGTGATAGAGGGAAAGGGAAAGTGCAAGGGCAAGCTTATGCCCTGGCAGGAGGCAGTTCGGGAGGTCAGACCATCAATGCGGTGGTTGAGGGTATGATTCTAATCTCTCATTCTTTTGTTCACGTGTTGTTTGATACAGGTGCCACACAATCTTTTGTATCAAGTTCTTTTGTTCGGACTTTAAAACTAAAATATGAGAATTTAGAAGTCCCGATGACTTTGAACTCCCCACTGGGATGTGTGGAGGTGTTAAGTGTGTGTAGATCATGTGAAATCACGATTGGGAGTGAGCGAATGAGAGCTAACTTAATTATCCTTCTGATGAGTCTATTTGACATGGTATCCAGAATGGATTGGTTGTCGGAGTACGGTACTATTGTTGATTGCTACCATAGAAGAATGACTTTGATGACTAAGTCTGGAACAATGATTTCTTATCAGGCAGATACGAACCCAGTCCTGGGAGAACGACGGTTGAAGTATAGTGTTGGGGGACGAAGGAATCTAGCCTGTTTTTCTTCCCTTCTCGCTTTTGAAGGTGAACCCGAGATAATTGGAGATAGTGCGGGAATCCCTGTAGTGGATGAGTTCACAGATGTATTTCCTGAGGATCTACTGGGGTTGTCACTACATCAGAAAATTGAATTCTGCATTGATTTGGTTCCGAGGACGGCACCTATTTCCATTCCTCGATACCGGATGGCTCCGGCGGAGATGAGAGAATTAAGGAAGCAGCTTGGGGAGCTAGCAGAGAAGGGATACATCCGGAATAGTACTTCCCCTTGGGGTGCCCCGGCGCTATTTGTGAAAAAGCACGACGGATCTCTCCGGTTGTGCATTGACTACTGTCAATTGAATATGGTAACTGTGAAGAACAAATACCCCCTGCCAAGGATCGATGAGCTATTCGATCAGTTGGGTGGATCACAGTTTTACTCCAAGATTGACTTGAGGTCTGGGTACCACCAATTAAAAATTAAGAAGGAGGACAATCCGAAGATTACTTTTATAACTTGGTACGGGCACTTCGAGTTTCTTGTAATGCCTTCTGGGCTGACGAATGCCCTGGCAGCATTCATGGACTTGACGAACCGTGTTTTCTGGCCGTATTTGGATCGGTTCGTAATTGTCTTCATTAACGACATACTGGTTTACTCGAAGACTTGGGAAGAACATGAACAACACTTGAGAATTGTTCTTCAAACTCTTCGTGAACACCAGTGGTATGCTAAGAAGGAGAAATGTGACTTCTGGCTTACAGAAGTGAAGTTCCGTGGGCATGTAATTTTAGGACAAGGAATCTCTGTCGATCCTTCTAAGATCGAGACTATGCTACAGTGGGAAAGGCCGAAGAATGTGTTGGAAATGTGTCCATAAAGTAGTATAAAATTTGTTATTTGTGAAATGACAAATGTCAGACATTATTGTTTTGCTTATTTTATAAAATAAAATAAAGTTATGTTTTGATACATATTCAAGAGTGTTAGTGATATTGCTTAGTCCATAGACTGTTATCAATGAAAGAAGAGTCAGGGAAACCCTGCCGGACAAACTCTTCTGATATAGTTTAAAATAGATATTCGCAGTCTTAGGATCGATTGGGCAATCGAATCCGATTATGACTGTTAGATCGAACCATATGATGCTGGTCTCGGGGCATGGGAGTTGGACTCTGTGGTTGATCTAGACATGTTCACAACATGTTGAATAGACCATGTGACTGATTAGGTTAGAGTAAAAACCGTTTACAGAACTCTAAACCTAATTGTCACAACTTAAGTATATTTGTATAATTATCTCAATCCTGAAGTGAATACATAACTCGACTTAATTTCTCATGATTTTTTATTCATCAGTGAGATTAGTTCACAGTTTTGAACAACATCTCGGGTATTGGGATCATGACAAAATTGAGTTGGAGTTATGTGATTCACAGATATGGAATTCGTAAGAAATAATATCACCTCATGCTTTATTGATGGGTGTGTGAATAAATAAACCAGGCCTGGTATTCAATGATGATATTCATTGATTAAGACATCGTGACATGTGCGAGACATCTTACGAACATATGTCTTTCCTATTCACAGTCAAATAAAGGAGTTGAGGAAAAAATGATTGGAATGGTAAAACGGTAATATTCTATACCATTCTGATCACTGATATTTACGAAGGATAATAATGCATTTATTCTATGGACC